AGTCAGGAACTGTGCATAGGCAAAGCGGAGTTCACGATCAGTTTACGCTACTCAAGAAAAATAGGCCAATTGCCTGTTGCTCAACGACTATGTACAAAAGATTAGTGCTGTATATGCCACAACTTTTCGTTAAAATTTGTACTTTTAAATGAAATATCGCCAAAAAACCACACAAAGTTGTCAATGGAATAATAAACACGTGTATGCCTAACACCAAAGCATTGGAAATAGTGGTTAGTTGAAATTCCATTTTTAACCAAAAATGACAAAAATATTTGCCAAAATTAGAGAATTAAAGATATGGGATGAACAAATTTAGATGTCAATACAAGGTACATACACACCAAGTATCAAAAAGCATTCAGGCTCCCGATTTTGAAGAAGAAGTCAAAAATAGAATTTTTGACCAAAACTGACTATTTTAAAATAGTCTGAACTGAAATCAGGTTGAGTCGTAACAGCCGTTTTTTCCCCATTATTTTCGCCTTAAGTTTCTACCTTTCTACTGTCGATGGGTCCCGAAACTATTTCATCAATTATTTTGAGGGCGATGGTCTGAAATTGGTCGATTTCATGGGCTGGTTAATGGCGTTGGGCTAGCGAGATCCCTGCATATTAATGTACTGTAAAATGCTTTATTTCAGCTGGAATTCATATTCACTGAAAAGACTTTTTTGGAGATTTGCATGGAATTTATTCTTACTGATTTTTGACGAGTTAAATGTAAAACATAGAAAAAAAGGTATATTTGCTGGATTTTATTTTCACTGAATCAGTGAAAATTAATTCCGAGAGAAAAAGTATTTGACAGTTAGAAAGTGAGATATGCTGCCGTAAGTTCCGGTACACGCTTTATATCAACCAATACGTTTGTATGATTTAATTCACATTTCAATGGGTGATGACGTGTATTAAAACGATTACATGCTTTAAATCACGGTCTTTCATTGATGGTAAAAGTGACCATTTTGTAACCAAAGTCATTGGTGGCAAAAGATAAGCAAAGTCCAAATTGTTTATACCATAAAGTTCAAATTGTTTGTGGCCAACTGACAAATTTTACGCCAAAATTGATTATGCTTTACAAATAAATAATAAACTATACAGAAGCTGCAATTATGTTAAATTTGGATGTGATGACCACTCTACCACTACCTGTTGACGATATTTCACTGCTGTGGTTTATCACAAGACTTACAAAACATGCAGCTATTTGTTGTAGTCAACTCATGTGTGCAAAATGTTGTATTGTGGGTAAAAGTGCATCACCAAGAGTTGACAAGCTGTATAATTTGTTTACGTTGAAGAGAATTTGCTGCCAGACAGGATTTTTTTTAATCCCCAGATATCACTATTGATTAAATCTAATCACCATGGCATCCAAAATGATCACATGGTCGAATCTAGAGGCCTATAGTATTAGGTTGGCCATTGAATTACACTTTAGCAAATGCCACATTGCAAGTGAATTTTAATTTAGCCATATTTGCTGACAAGTGAAATGAGCTAAATTACAATAGAATTAACTGTTTCTCTAGCAAACCCAGTGAACATGCTTAAAATACTCAAATCAAATTCAAAAGATTAATGCTTTCACAGCAAGTGACAGTAGTGTTGGGGCATCAAGTTTAAAAATTGATCATTATTTCACTGACAAATTATTTCACAAACAATTTGGTGAAATTAGTGCAGCTTTTTTCTAGAAAAAAACTGCAAGAGGAAGCACTGCAATTCAGCTGTGCCACCAAGTGGGGAGATAGGGCTCTCCCTACCAGGGTGTGGAGTTAAAATGGACAATTCTATGGCTTCCTTGGGGCCAAAATTACTATCCACATGTGATCCCTGATCAATCAGAATTTTATGGTTGCCAGAGGATCTGCTCCCCAGGGTAAGGGGGCGCATGGCCATGGCATGAGGGTGCTGCGCCCTGTTCCCTTGTTTAAAATATCCCTGTCGTGAGATTGCGCTGGTAATTTTCCTGTCAACAGTAAAACATGGCCAATGGACCTATCCATTTCAGTTAGTCTTATTTATTTTCCTGCTCAAAATGAAGGTTAATTGTGCTAGCTAAACAATTAAACTGTACACCTGACCTAATCAGTAAAGAAATAAATAGCCGATTATGAAAATGTTTCTCTGGTGACAGAGGTTTGATTTACCAATAAACTTCATTGTATCTAGTCTTCCATGGTCAATGATTGAGTTTGGTCATGGATGTAGTCATTTCTCCAGAACCAATATTACTTCAAAGCTAATTTAAAAGTGATGATAGATTAATTGATAGTGAATTAATTTCATCATTACCTTCAAGCAGTCTAGTGCGCTTGAACACAACAGAAAGCAAGCTTCACAATCCTTTTCAGTCAGCTAGCAAGTGCCAATTCTATTTTTTTGTTTTGTTTAACGTAATACTTAACGAACACCGGAAATAGTAAATGTGTATAGTATAACAGGTTGACAATAAAACTTAAAAGATAAGATTACTTGAGGTGGGATTTCTTCAGCATGGCAGTCAACCCATCAGAGTTGCTGGCAAACTATATGAGCAGCAATGTAAATCTCAGAGTAGCAGCCCGCTAACCTAAGTAACTTTGTGGAGAACACTGGTAGTACAAGTACATACTTCTGATTATAACGTGATGTGTGTTATATTTCAATATTAAATTACTTACTACTACAGGGTTCTCCCCAGAAAAAATGCATAGCGCCGGGGCTAATTTGCATAATAATTTGCATATCATTTACATATCTTTCCTTCATTGATTAACAGAACTTATTTACAATTATGAATATTAGTGAGCTCAGTCACAGGGCAAATATTTTTTTTTAATGGAA